ATTGTCATTGTCATTGTCATTGTCATTGCCATTGTCATTGTTATTGTCATTCCAGTGTCATTGTCATTGTCAGTCATTGCCATTGTCATTGTCATTATTATTGGTATTGTTATTGCCATTGCCATTGTCCTTGTCATTGTCATTGTCATTACCATTGTCATTCCCATTGTCATTGTCATTGTCACTGCCATTGTCATTAAAATTTTCATTCTCATTGTCATTGCCATTGTCATTACCATTATCAATGTCATTGTCACTGTCATTCCCATTGTCATTGTCATTGTCACTGCCATTGTCATTACCATTGTCATTGTCATTGTCATTGTCATTCGCATTGTCATTGTCATTCTCGTTGCCATTGCCATTACCATTGCCAATGTCACTGTCATTGTCATTGTCATTTTCATGGTCATTACCATTGTCATTCTCATTGTATTTGTCATTTTCATTTTCACTGTTCTTGCCATTGTCATTGTCATTGCCATTGCCATTGCATTTTCATTGTCATTGTCATTGTCATTGTCATCGCCATAGTCATTAGCATTACCATTGACATTACCATTACTATTGTCACTCTCAATGCCATTGTCATTGTCATTGTCATTGTCATTGCTGTTGCCATTGTCATTGTCATTGCCGTTGTCATTGTCACTACCATCGTCATTGTCATTGCCAGTGTCATTGTCATTGCCATTGCCATTGCATTTTCATTGTCATTGTCATTGTCATTGTCATTGCCATAGTCATTAGCATTACCATTGACATTACCATTACTATTGTCACTCTCATTGCCATTGTCATTGTCATTGTCATTGTCATTGCTGTTGCCATTGTCATTGTCATTGTCATTGCCGTTGTCATTGTCACTACCATCGTCATTGTCATTGCCAGTGTCATTACCATTGTCATTTTTATTGACATTGTTATTAGTATTTTATTATTTATTTTTATACGATACGATAGTGGATTGTGTGAAGATTTTTAAATAGGTTTTCTGAGGAGATTTTCATAAATTTCTCGTTAGTATTGTTATATTATCATTATTATATTTTATTTTTTTTTATTTAGCGCAAAAAGCGACTGGGAGACTGGGAGTGAGCATAGAGCGCGAGCGGAGCTCGTAGGGAGTGGGTAGTGTAGGCGACTACAGTTCTGGCATTACGTTAATAGAGTGTTTCTAAAGGAGAGAATTTTTGTCCATCTAGAGGCATCAACTGAAGGCGTTCCGTTACGATTTTCGAAACGCTCGTGACATATAAGCAAGACTATTTCAGTTTTCACTCAGCTCATAGAGCCTGTCGGATAGCTGTTTCGGAAAATCTGTGAGAAACGTTCATACCCGTATGATAGAATCGTAAAAATAGAAAGACACAAGCAAACGCTAGTTTGTAGACGAAACTTTAAAGCAAGAAAGCCCTGCTGTTAAGCTGAGTATTTTCTCTTACCTGGACATGTTGGACTAGATCGCTTCGCTGGACTAGGTGTGCCGTCGGTACAGCCAAAAAGCAGTACAACTACAAAAAAGAAAATGAGCTTCATCTTCAAACCACGCTGTTTCGATTCAACTGCCGAGTGGATTATCACTGCATGTTTTCAGTATATAAGATATGAGTTCATTATCAGTTACAGCTGCTCCAGGGTCAACATTTTATAAAGCACCTTAAGTGGCTTAAAAACAATAAAAAGGAAATGATCAAATAACACCTCTTTTACTAAGGACGACTAATTAATTTATGCATGCAAAAAGGCGTTAGAATTGAATCCTCTATCTTAAGTCAAGTGCTTCAAAAATTGCTAGAAATTATCGGAAGAAGTGAAGTTTACCGAAAATGTCAAGGAAAAAATAAATGCGTCACAAAACTTGATAAACCTGAATAAGTGCGTTTTTAAGTCTTGCTTGTTTTTAAGTCTTGCTTCTGTACATCACAGTGGATACCAGGAGAGAACGTCAGAAGGCCAGGGCCCTTGCTCCACCCTCTGATTCCACTTATGTCTGTGGTTCTTGTCACCGCATCTGCCGATCACGAATCGGACTCCAAAGCCATCTCAGAAAATGTTTAAGGAAATGTACAATTACTAACACACGCTAAAATTATGGACTAGATTGTCCGATAATGCCAATACAAGTCTTGCTTGAAATTTTACGCTTCTTATGTGGTTTGTTAGTTCATTCACGTTTTTATACACGGAGACAAAGTATTTTGAACAACTCGTATAAGTGACAGCTTGTCAAAACCCCTATAAAGAAGCTACATCCTGTATCAGACAAGGTGAGAGATTTATCCCAAATTCTCCACCCATTCTTTTTGGCCTCTTGCTGGTTTATTATTAAAATCACGGGTATAAAATGCGTGGTATCTTTCTAATTTAGCTAAAATCGTGCTCCAACGGTGTATCAGATTTATTTTTACCGCGACGTGAAATATTCGCGCAAAAATGTTACGCCTGTTCTACACGAGCAATTTTTAAGTAACAATATTTTTATGTGACAACTCTTACTTGCACATGCAGACGAGAAAAATTGGCCAATTGTTATGTGATAACTATATTTGCTGAAAAGCTGGCATGTTAGATGTTATGTGACAAATGAAAGTTGTCCCAATCGACTGAAAAAATTATAAAATGTAGCAAATATTTTAGCAAGCCCCGTATTTTTCTGGGGCGATTAAGAAGCCCCGTCTTGTTTCTGCCTAACTCTTCTGTCCAATGTCATTACTGCCATACTAAACTTCGAACTGTTCCCAATTTTTTTGCTGCGCCATCTACACGATTTAATATATATGTGACGAAAAATTGTTGCAAACAAATTGATCGTGTGGACCAGCCTTTCGTCCTTACATTTTATCTGAGGATGGCAGCTGTCATAGTTAGCAACCGAAACGTCCAAAAAAAAAAACGTTTGCGTAAAAAATCATACTCAATATTGGTTAGAAGCAATCTGGCAGAGTGTATGACTTTCCTGGGCCCGAATTTATCAGTAAATTATATGAAACCTCAAAGAGACAACGCGAGATATGCCAAAAAGCCATGAAAATCAGTCAGGTCGACTATAAATTCCCCACAATATCGGGGTGGATAAGACATAGTTATCTTTTTTTCTTGCTTTATTATTATTGAAATCACGGATATAAAATGAATGCTATCTTCCTAATTTAGTTAACTATAATTTTGATAAAGATCAAATGTTCAGCGTCTTACGGGTGTGGGACAAAAAAAAAAAGCTCTAACCACCGAGCTACGGAGACGCCTTTTACTGGGTTCACGACTTATGTGATACACTTTCTGCATACTGCTGGGATCAGCAGCTTCGAAAGCGTCCTGTGTGGAAATAATTAACGAAAGACGGTTTTAATTTTTAATAGTTTTGATTTTCCTTCTGTTTGACGTTAATCTCATGCCTTTGAACAAATGACTTATAAGGAATGACATAAATCTTTTCATGGTCGTAATTTTGAGGGATGAAAAAGTAGACACTTAATGCTCAGTTTCAATCAAGCAGTATCAACTTTTTGCCAAGTTCCAAAAAAAGTGGCAGTACTGGACTGAGGGCCACTTAATTCTTCTGAAATTAGCGAGACTATGAATCCGCTCCCACGTTTTCTTCCTTACTTGTGAAAAGTTGATCTTGATCATCAATTTTAAAAAAGAAGGGATCACCGCGCTGGCTTCTGAGTTAGAGGAACGTGAGCTATATTTAGGATACTAATTATAATAATCGTTTGTTTCACGTGATGTAGGGCTGCTTTTAACATCTTTTGCTGTGGAGTGGTAGTACTGATCCAACGAAGTATAAGAAATAAAAACTGCTGGAAACTATTGCCAGCCACTTTAATGGATGCATACTTGTGATACTCAGTAAGAGCCCTGCGCAATCTTAAGCTGTTGTGAATCAGAATTCCATCATGGGTATCACACTTTTAAATTTGGTGAATTTATTGAACAGTGTTAACAATTTGCTACGAGTAAGGGCGATCATTAGGCGAGAAGGTTTTGCTACGACAGTGATTTCGAGGAGCTTATCAACTTTATCCTGTTTTTTCCTAGAGTGCAACCCAAGTTTTGCCTTTAATTGAATCATTAATCACTCATAAGACCAATTAATGTTGAAACTTGTCGTGGTTCAGTTGGAGTTTTTTGAAACAGATGTGATGCGGCGAAAAAGTGCTCCTGTTTTTGTTGAAAAAAAGAAATACCCTTACACAAATTCATGATAACTAGAGGAACTTTAATTTCAGCTGATGCCCAGTAACTACACTTCACTCATCACGTCTTAGCTAATCTAATTTAATCAACTAGTGGCAAGTCACCAGCTTCTGTGTGGGACATTTAATGCTCATTGCTCACTGAGCCAAGGCCAGAGAAATCCTCTTTTTCGGTTATTCTGTAATTCGATCCATGGGGATACCCGTTTTTGAGGATTAAATGCGGAATCAATCCATGAAAATCCCCTCTTCATTGCCTCCTTCAGATGCGCAGCATGCACCATGACTGCAATGGATCGTCGAGATATCTCTGTGTCACAATGTTCAGGTATCTTCAGTTTCTCTAGGTCAGCGGTAGTCTTCAGGTCGAGGTGACTGAAAAAAAAACTCAGTTAGCTTCGCATACTCAAAGTGGCCACTGTTTACCCAACTGTATAAATTAATGACGGCGATCTAGGGACCTTTTTTCGAACATTTCACTACGAGTTTGCTAAAAAGGCTCATCTAGGAAGCTTACATCTGCACATAACTTATGCAAAGAAGACAGGAGTGTCTTAGTATTTCAGTAACAGTTTAATGAGCAAATAAAAGCAGTTGGACTCGTTTATAATCAATAAAGATAAAAACTATAATAATAATAATAATAATAATTAATAATAATAATAATAATAATATTAAACAAGCGAATATTAAAGTTACTAGCCGACGTTTTGGCGTCATGCTGACACCATTATCAAGGAAATGTGAATAAATTAATGCGCAGATTTGATTTCTATGCTTTTACAGTCTCTACAAATTAGCATAATAACAAAGGCTCACAAGTTCTTCAAGTGAATACCCGGCTTTGTTTAAGTTTTCGTATATTTTATACGAAAACTTAAACCATCTCTAAACGTGCGAACTAAACAGCGCTAAACATCCTGGAATAGAACTGAGTTACCTTCCAATTGTAGTTAAACCTGGGCTCTCCTGTGCGAAACTCACTGGAAGACACGAGTCATCGCCTTCGAGTGTAAACGTGCCATTGCCTGCAAACAAAAGAGTCCCAAGTATTTAGCTTTTGACTATCAACCTAACCATTTTAACGGTTTTCATCTTCGCTTTTACATCTGGTTTCTCAAGGTTATAAATTCCTCTCATAATAAACAGCAGAAACTTTGATTATGATTGTGATTATGATTATGATTATGATTGTTATTATGATTATTATAATTGTTGTTGATGTTGTTGGTCTCGTTGTTATTGTTGTTGTTGTTAAACTAGGAAGCGATATCTTCGTACCTTGTTCATTCGAGTACGAATACAAATCAACTGAAGCTCCATTCAAGCCAAGCACACCGGACACTTCAAGCTTCACGTCCTTAGTGAGTTCTTCAGGACTGCCATCGCCACACGGCATCGCCACATGCTGCGAACGTCGAAGGAGAAGCACATCTGGATGCATCATCGACAAAACTTTTCGGCTTCATTATCATTTCTTACATATTCCTGAATTCAATAAGAAGTCTCTGTGAATTTATGAAGTATATCCCCGAAATTTGCGTCCTCACGTGGTAGTCGCAATCGATCGATTGAATCCCGGTTCGAATGGAGTTAAAACAAATTTGGTTACATCCAAGGTACTAGAAACAAGCCCAGCTGATTTATACGGGAATCACACTGAATAAAAACACATTTCTTACCCCCTTGTAATCCATCAAAAGTTTGTAAGGCCCCTGGCCACTAACAGTTGACTCCATCTGTGTTATCTGAAGATCCACGTCCACGTTGAATTTCTTGTCAGTAACCATAGACCCTGAATCTGTCACCGTTATCTGAAATAAGAAGTTAAGAGTACTTTAGCAAAGAGCCTTCCGCCGGAGAAAGTGTTCTGGCTTTTGACACGTTTTCTACCCCACCAATAAGATAGAAAGCTCTCGTTTTAGCATTTACAACATGACGCTTTAGCGAAGCTGTCGATGGTACACCCCAACGAAGGAAAAATTCGACTTCAGTTTGACTTCGGTTTCTCAAAAACGTTTATTCTTCAACGACACATAATTAAGACACTTAAAGATCATCGAAGTTTCACAAAATAGAGGGAAGGATCACTTTTTAAGAGTGTGTCCACGAGGAAACCAGGTAGAACCAGGCAGGAGGTGATACAGCTCGAATCACCGGGTCGCTCAAACTTTGCACAAATGTTGGGTTTGGTAAGAAAATGGTATCGATTGTGGCAAAAATTAGGTCAAATATTTTATTCCTTCAAGTTAGGGGGCTCCGGCAAAAATGGCCATTTGACACTAACTTATGCATATTTAATTAGCCATCTTCGGTTTAGTATTTCTACAACAAGAAAAGCCATGTGAAAATGAAATTCACTGGATCATGAAGCACAGATATTCATTTCAATTGGTTTATTTGATTTCTCTCCGTGGCTTCATCTTAACTAAGGTGCATTTTTCGTAGTGTTGTGAATGACCTTTATTTGATGGCAAATATCTGCAACGGACAAAACCAATACACATTATTCCCTAACATGGACAGTGAGAGCAATCAATAAAGGTCTCAAAAAAGCCATAAAATGTCTGGAGACCTCAGTATTTTGTCTGTGCTGGCGTACTGTTTACATAGAACTTAACGATTTACGGCCATTTCATGAACATGAGCAAGTTTGAGCGAAATCGGTGATTTGAGCTGTATTACCCTCCTGCCTGGTTTTCTCATGGAAACACCCGTAACTTTGCTTTCATGAGATGGAAAAGATAGGGACGTTTATCTGTGTCTCCTCTAAAACTTGTATCATTTTTATCTGGTTATATCTATAGACACAATCGATTCTGCAATGCAAAATTCCTCCCAAGGCAAGGCAAAAGCTTATCACTGCAAGTTTGTGGCAATTCTTAATAGAGTATTTTAAGCCATATTAAGGCTATAAATGACAGACAACTTTCAGCAAAAAAGTGCGTTCCAACGAAGTATCAGATGTATTTTTATCGCGACGTAAAATATCGCACAAAAATGTTAAGCCTGGCCTAAAGGAACAATTTTTAGTGCCATCTACACGGTTTAATATATTTGTCACGTAAAAAGTGATCGTGTGGATCAGCCTTTCGCCCTTACATTTTGTCTGAGGATGGCTGCTGTCATAGTTAGCAACCGAAACGTCAAAAAAAAAAGTTTGCGTAAAAAGTAAATTCATACACAATATTTGTTAGAAGCAATCTGGCATGGTGTAAGACTCTCTTGCGACTTAATTTATAAATTATATGAAACCTCAAAGAGATAATATGAGATATACCAAAAAGCCATGAAAATCAGTAAATAGTCAGGTCGACTACAAATGTTGGGCTGGATAAGACAATTATATTTTCAGAGAATTGCAATTGATTTTTTAAAAAAGCACTTCCTTGGACTTTTTATTTTGGCATTAGAATGAATCAATTCGCATTTTCGTTCGCATTTGTACCTATGCAAAAGTCGACAGCAGGTTAAAACTCACCATGTACGTTCGTCCTGAAAACTGCTTCGGAAGATCTGAGAACAACATAAAACCCGCACAAAATTAAAACAGAACAATGAGAAAAAACAGGCTCCACACTGATTTAGACACAACTTGGATGAAGACTGATGATGATTTTTGTTTGAACAACAAAAAAGAAGTTCTAGTATTAATGTTAGCTCGTTAATTCGTTTCTTACTTTTGCATGTTAGCATGTATGAATTTGGCTTTGCATTGGTGCAGCTAAATAGCGGCACAACTACCATGAAAAAGGCCTTCATCTTCAAACGACGCTGCTCTGTTCAACTGGAGAGTGAATTGTCTCTGAATGTTTTATATTCGTTCATTCATTATGCAGCTGTTCAAGGTTTAACGATTAGTTTGGGTGGCTTAGATTAAATAAAAAGCAAATAAAATGAGGTGTCCGATCGAACAGATAAAATGACATTCCTTTTGACGAAGTGGCAATTAAGAAGTTCGATGAAATGAAGACTCGGGCAATTCATGACTCGTCGTGATTCAGTACATTTATAACAGCTACCCCTGTCTGCTTCATTTTGGCGAGGGTGAAGGAGTGTGGGGCCTTAACTGAACAACTTTCAGTCAGTAGTTCAGGGCAACTGGAGTTAGCACTGTACTAGTTCAGCTACTGCGCGCAAAACGAAACACGTTTCCTTGGTGACATACAGCATGACATAAAGCGTTCATGAAATATCACCCATTAACTAATGGCCCTGCAATCATTTTAAAGTGCACTTAATGGAAAGATCAGAATTCCACACGACCATTGTGTCAGAGCTCAATTAAGAGCTTTATTATTTAAATAAACAACTCGCGATGTGTGGAAGTTAATTCATTTTTGGCATTATTTGATGCGTTCATAAATTGAGTGTGTTTTGTTTAATTGACTTTGACTTAAAAGCAAATTAAAATACAGCGCACGTTGCAACGGATAGAATAGCACTCAGTTTGTCAATAAAGTACAGCTGAACCATCTACATCGAAATATTAAGGGAAACGCTAAGTGTTATAGATGGCAGGTGCCGCTTGGGGTAGCCGATCGTAAAATACTAAAATCATATATCCAGGGACAAAGCCAGGAGTTCGAGATATCCCAGTTCAACGTGGTCAGGTACAACTGTATTCTAAGCAAAACAAAAAAAAATGTGCCTCTATAAACATGAAATAGAAAATGCAAAATGGTGACGCGTTTTGCTAATGTTTTGCAATTAAAAAAGTTGACGTTAGTTGATGCTTTTCACTCAGTTCCTTTGTCCTGAACTGTTCCACGACCGTCAGAGTTTTCTTCTTTTCTTTTTTTCCGTGGGTTATTAACTGTGGCTTAAGTACTAAAAGTGGCTCATTAAGACAAGCTCAGTTTGCCTATCAGTTTTCTCCGAGTAAGGGCAATCATTACGCGGAAAACTATTGCCTTCAAGGTGATTGTCCACTTTATTCTGTTTTTTTTTTTCCTCGAGTGCAACCCAAGTTTTGCTTTTTATATGAATCATCGCTCATAAGATCAACTAAAATTAAAACTTGTCGAAGTCTAGTTGGATTTTCTAGAACAGTTGTGGTGCGGTGAAAAAGCGTTCCTGCTTTGAATGAAAAAAGAAAACACCCACACACAAATTGATGATAACTAGAGGAACTTTAATTTCAACTGAAACCCGCGGTAACTACAGTTCACCTATCACGCCTTAGCTAATCTAATTTAATGCTCTAGTGGCAAGTCACCAGCTTCTGTGAGGGACATTTAATGCTCATTTCCCGCTACCCAGGGGCCAGGGAAATCCTCTTTTTCGGTTATTCTGTAATTCAATCCATGAAAATACCCGTTTTTGAGAATTAAGTATGGCATCAATCGATGGAAATCCCCGTTTTTTAGACTTAAGTGAGGTCTCAATCCATGGAAATCCCCTCTTCATTGCCTGCTTCAGATGTACAACATGCACCATGGCTGGAATAGATCGTCGAGTGATCTCTTGGTCACAATCTACAGGTATCTTCAGTTTCTCAGGGTCAACGGTAGTCTTCATGTCCAGGTAACTGAAAGAAAAAAAATCCCAGTTAGAATCACGTACTCAAAGTGGCCCCTGTGTTTACTCAACCGTACATGGATGACGGCGATCTAGAAAACGATTTTCGCATATTTCAACACAAGTTTACCAAAAGGGCTGATCCAGGGGGCTTACATCTGCACATAACTCATGCAAGGACTACATACGTGTCTTCCAATTTCAGTAACAGTTTAAGACATAAACAAAAGCGTTTGGACCCGTTTGTAATTTATAACGTGACAGAAAATTTCAATTGTAGATCGGGTGATGGCCTAGCTGCAAAAGGCCTTTTATTAAGCGATGATAAATGTTGTCAAGCGATTAAATCGGATTTATCTGGAACAATTAAATTGAGACGGAATCCACCAGAAGTTCGAGTGACAAGTGGACAAAAACCTAGTACCAAGGTTATTTACATCGTATTGCAAACTTCTGTACGACTGTTTTAAATATCGTCTCAAAAAAGAATCATTTCTAGCAACAACAAACGTCGAAAACGAATGTTGAACTTCATATGAAACACTTGAAAGTACTGGTGAAATGAAACTGATGATGAAATTTTGCCTGTGTTTGCAAAAGTTCTCTGAACTTTGAAATTTATTTTCTCTTTTCCCCATGGGAAATTGTTTTCGGTGTTATTTCAAGCAATTATTTATGTATTTAGCTGTAACCAAAGTAAAAATGACTGTGCAATACTTAAAATTATTCTGGTACCAGATTTTTGTCCACTAAAACCTAAAATTGCTCGATTTTCTATCGGATTTCGTCTTAAATTTTCCTTTTTGTACTCTAAACTATATCCCAGAATAGAATTGGGTTACCTTCCAGCTGTAGCTGAACCTGGGCTTTTATCTGCAAAACTCACTGGAAGACACGAGTCATCGCCTTGGAATGTAAACGTGCCATTGCCTGCAAACAAAAATGTCACAAGATTCTAGGCTTTGTTTATCAACCTAGCCGGTCTAAATGTTCTCATCTTCTGGTTTGTCAAGGCAAAAAATTCGTTTTGTAATAAACAATGAAAACTTTGCATTGTTCAGTGACTGTGGACTTATTGGTTTTAAACTGTTTATTTTTCCTTTGCCTATTATTAATATTATTGTTATTATTATTATTATTATTATTATTATTATTATTATTATTATTATTGTCATTATCATCATCATCATCATCATTATTATTATTATTATTATTATTATTATTACTATTATTGCTTTGATGAACCACACGATGTTTTTGAAGTTCATTATTTAATGAAGAAAATACATGTTTCGGATGAGACATCATCCATCGGCAGTTGTACAGTGAGAAATAAAATGAAAATATGCAATAAATAGCCTGACAAAGTGAGATATTAACAAGAATAATTAAGGATTAAGGCGCGAACCAAAAAAAAAGAGTAAAACTCTTTAAGCTAAGAAAGGAGACTAATTCATATGAAAGGGATAAATTAACATGTTTGACCTGGGAATTTAAAGACAGTTGCTCCCAAAGGATGTGCATGTCTTCCTTGATTTTCAATAACGAAACGCGCGAAGTCTAAAAATAGAATTCAAATTATTGGAACCCCGCGAGAGTCAGACAACATACGCGTGTTCTGAGAGAAAAAGGAGGAAAATGAACGCCAGATTTTCGTTTTAAAACTTGTTTTAGGAACACTTGCTTACGCGCTTGAAAAAGCGTCAAATCTTCCACCATTCCGTTTTGTTTGTCTGACTTTGTCTGAGTTATGACGCCACTCGCGCGCTTCGCTATTGGAAGCTTGTGGAAGCAGAGTCGAGAATTTTAAAACAATCTTCTGAACAAAGGGAGCGACAATTTTCAGAACTTCTCAGGTGTTAAGGGATGTGGGAACGTTTGTCAGAGGAAAGATGTTCGCAGATGTGAGTGGCGAAGTGTCTGTTGGTTTCACCAAAATAACAGGTACTACAGCCTGCACATGAAAACTTATAAATGACTCGCGAACGTAAATCCGCGGGGAGAGGATCCTTGACCCCAAACCAACTCCTGATTTTAAACGGGGTGAACACCACTATTATTATTGTTGTTGTTGTTGTTGTTGTTGTTATTATTATTATTATTATTATTATTATTATTTCGAATCAGATCTTTGCATTATTTATTCACTTTGCCTTGAGAATGGTGTCACGATGACGCCGAAACGTCGGCTTTTAACGTTAATATTCGTCTGCTTATGTTTTAAGAAATCGGCATTATCATTATCATTATCATTATCATTATCATTATCATTATCATTATCATTATCATTATCATTGTCATTATCACCATCACCATAACCATCACCACTATCACTATCATTGTTACTATTATTATTATTATCACTATAATTATTATTATTATTATTATTATTACTATTATTACTCTTATTGTTGTTGTTGTTGTTGTTGTTTTATTAGGAAGCCGTCTCTTCGTACCTTGTTCATTCGAGTACGAATACAAATCAACTGAGGCTCCGTTCAAACCAAGTACACCAGACGCTTCAAACTTCAAGTCCTTAGGGAGTCCTTCAGGACCGAAAGGGAACTTATCTTTGAGTGGTGAACTGTAACATCCACCAGGATAACTCACGTACATCTTGCCCTGTCAAAAAACAATAGGCAATATTCGTATTCTCGGTATTAGACTGGAACTAGCTTGCAATGGAGGCTCATGCGGGGGAATATTGGCCCTCGCACATTTTTATACGGACCTCGCTCCGCTCGGTCCTGACTGTCAAGACCTCGGGTCGATATTCTCCCAGTACGGCCCTCACACTTGGTTAATAAGATATATGTATCACCATCAATATGACGCCATCGCCACATGCTGCGAACGTCAAAGGAAGCACTTGTGGATGCGCCTTTGACAAAACTTTTAAGCGTCGTTATCATTGCTTAAATATTCTTGAATTCAAGAAGGGGTCTCAGTGAAGTATATCCTCGAAATATGCCACCTCACCTGGTAGTCGCCAATCGATCAATTAAACCCCGGTTCGAATGGGGTTAAAACCCGAGGGGTATTCCCAGAAAAATTGGGTGGGGGTGTGGGGCCAGCTTTCCAAAACCCTTAACCTATTTATGACCAAAATCTGCGATATTCCCTACCCTATTTATGACCTGACCCTTAAATCAAAACCCTGTTTCAGACCTGCGTTATAATTAGTTCCCTAGTTCAGACCAGTGTTAAATTACCATAACAATAATTTGTAAAGGGCTTTTGTTGATTTTCTTCTCGATAATGATGAAAAAGTGGCTTCTTCTTAAAAAACATACCCATATCAAGGCTAGAGTACAAACACCATACCCAAAATGGCCAAAATCAGCTAAAATTGATACCCTATTTATGACCAAAACGACCAGCTGTTTTGCACGGGAATCACACTGAATAAAAAACACAGCTCTTACCCCTTTGTAATCCAGCAGCAAACTATGTGACCCCTGGCCACCGGCAGTTGTTTCCATATTTGTTATCTGTAGATTCACGTCCACGCTGAATGTCACGTCATAAACCGTAGACCCTGAATCACTCACCGTTATCTGAAATTAGAAAAAAAAAAGGAGATTTCGCGCAAAGAACCTTTCTGCCGGAAATGAAATGGAGACCTCTCACTTTACCATTTACAACTTGACGCCCCAACGAAGGAAATTTCGACTTCAGTTTAACGTCTGTTTCTCGAAAACGTTCACTCTTCAACGGCACATTAGTCACTTGAAGATCATCCTAGTCTTACAAATTATAGGAAAGGAATCACTCTTTAAATTTGCTTTTATCATTTTTATCTGGTTTAATATAATTATAAACACAACAGATTTTGCAATGCAAATTTCTTCCCGATGATAGGCATTGCAAAAGCTTATCATTGGAAGTTTAAATTTGTGACGATTTTTAATCAGTAGCGCATTTTAAGCCGTTTTACGTGAAAACGTTCAACGTAACATTGTGTGCCAACGCGGCGTAAAATATTCGGGCAAAAATGTTACGCCTGGTCTACATGAGCAATTATTATGTGACAACATTTTTATGTGACAACACTTAATTGGTCGTAGAGACGAGAAAAATTGGCCAATTTTTATGCGAAAATATGTTTCCTGAAAAGCTGGCGTGTTAGATTCTATGTGACAAATAAAAGTTGTCATATACTACGAATAAAGTATAAAATGTGGCAAATGTATTCGCAAGCGCCACATTTTCGGGGGCGACTAAGCAACGTCACCTTGTTTCTGCGTGACTCTACTGTCCGGAGTCATTACTGCCGTACTAAACTTCGAACTGTAACCAAATGTTTTGCTGTGCCATCTACACGATTTAATATATTTGTCATGCAAAAATTGTCAAAAAAATTGATCGTGTGGACCAGTGACGGCTGTCATAGCTAGCAACCGAAACGTCGAAAAAAAAGGTTTCCGTAAAATTGGTCAGAAGCAATCTAGCATGGTGTAAGACTTTCCTGCGACTGAATTTATAAATCATATGAAACTTCAAAGCGATAATGTGAGATACGCCAAAAAGCCATGAAAATCAGTAACTGGTCAGGTCGACAATAAATCCCCCACAATATCGGGGTGGGTAAGACAATCAAGTTTGCAAAGAATTTGAATTAATCTAAGAAAGCACTTCCTATCCTTAGACTTAGAATGAATGAATCAATTGGCAAAAGTCGAGAGGTTAAAACTCACCAGGTACTGTCGTCCTGAAATCTGCTTCGGAAAATCTGAGAAAAGCATAAAACCCGCACAAAGTTAAAAGAGAACTATAAGAAAAAAACAAGCCCCACTCAATATAGACACAACTTGGATGAAGACCGATGATTTTCTTTTTGAACAACAACAAAAAAAAGAGCTAGTATTGATTTTAGCTAGGTAATTCTTTTCTTACTTTTGCATGTTAGACTGGATCGTTTAGCTGGATTTGGCTTTGCATTGGTGCAGCCAAATACCAGGACAACTACAACGAAAATGGCCTTCATCTTCAAACGACGCGGTTCTGTTCAACTGTGCAGTGAAATCTCTCTGAATGCTTTATATTCGTTCATTCATTAAACAGCTGCTCCAAGTTCGACAATTCATGCTGCACTTTAAGTGACTTAAATAAAAAGAAAATTAACACGAAGTTCCCGATCAAACAGATTAAATAACACTCCTTTTGATGAAGTAGTAATTAAAAAATTCTATGAACTGAAGACTCGGGGAATCCATGACTCGTCGTGATTCTGTACATTTATACCAGCTAACCCTGTCAATTTATTTTGGCGAGGGTGAAGGAGTGTGGGACCTTAACTGAACAACTTTCAGTCAGTAGTTCAGGGCGACTGAAATTAGTACTGCACTAGTTCAGCTACTGCGCGCACGTTAACGAAATACGGTTCCCTGGTGATATATTTCAATTGACATACAACGTTCGTGAAATGTTATCTATTAATGGTCCCCCAATCATTTTAAAATGCACTTAATGGAAAGATCAGAATTCCTCACAATCTTCGCTTGAGAGCTCAATTGAAAGATTTATTATTTAAATCAACAACTCGCGACGCGTGGAAGTTAATTGCTCTAAGGCATCATTTGATGCGTTTATAAATTGTGCGAGTTTTGTTTAAGTAGCTTTGACTTACAGCACACTTTTGTCAATAAAGTACAGGTGAGCCCTGGTATCTTGAAATCTTAAGGAAAATGAGTGTCTAGAAGGCGGGGACGGCTCCAGATAGCTGGTCGTAAATGACTAAATGTATATAACCAGGAAAAAGTGATTTGAGCTCGAGAAAGCGATAAGTTCGAAATATCCAAGTGTAACATGGCGTGGTACAACTGTGAGCAAAAATGGGCGTCTGCAAACATGAAAAAGAAAATGCAAATGGGCTACTTGGTGTCAAGTTTTCCTAATGTTTTACAATTAAAAAAGGTTACATTATTTAATGTGTTTGCTTTTCACTCATTTTCTTTGGGATGAATTGTTTCACGTCCGTCGTCCGTCCCGTGGGTTATAGACTATGGCTTGGGTGCCAAAAGTGGCTCTTTTAGGCAAGCTTTGTCTATTAAATGCATCATTATTTAATTCGGTCAAAAACTAAAGGTGGGTTTGCGAAATGATGGGTCAATCCTAAGGCGACAGATTTTGCTATAAAATACTTTCTTGTGTTGAACAGAGTCGAGAGCCCTATTCAGCACAAATATCTAAAAGCTTATAAGCAATCCTTAATCGAAAGACAACGAAAACATCACCAAGTTAAAGGTTTAATCAGCCCTACAGCACAAGGAACTGCGCTGCGTTATAAATCTTGGTTGTGTTTCTCCACTTTCGGTTTAGCAAAAACAAAAATTGATATATCAATTAACATTATAAGTTGCTGTAATGATGGAAACTTTCCCAAACAGAGTGTGTGCTTCTACACATGGGAACCCACTCTGTAATTCAATATTCCTCGCTAAAAGTAGTACTCTTCTCTTTTAAGTAATTTTGAAACGCCAAAACGCCGAGTATGAAAGTCAAGGTATAGAATAAATGCTCTCCACTTTCACGAGTGGACTGAACTTTGCAAAAGCCGATGGACTTAACTGAAATCAAAAAATATGATAGAAAAAACAATTGACGGGTTGCTGGCATTTAGTTTACGTCTTTTGATCTCACTGAAATGGTACGAGGAGAGCGAGAATATTTTCAAACACTTTTGTCTACTTTTATCAATAATTAGTTTTTCTTTAGCTGAGTAAAAGAAAGAGGAATTAAGAGTACAGAGTAGTTAAAATCACACTTACGCGAAGTTTCCTAAACAACTGTGTACAAAAGCAGCTTAACTTAAAGAAAATATCTGTTGAAAATGTTAAAGTAATGAAGTTTGTATGTGCTCCTCATTTCATCATGATTGACTCGTTACTTGCCTGGGCAAAAAGTCTAGTCGTTACGACGGAAAATTACGAACAGAGGTTCAGCTCTGTTAAGCTCGCAGCAGGGATGGCGCAGTGGTTAGATTGCTCGTCCCCACCAATGCGGCCCGGGTTTAAATCCTGGACTTTGCGATATCATGAGTGGGTTGAGTGTGTTTTTGGTTATCGCCTTGCTCAGAGGGCTTTTCTCCGGGTTCTCCAGTTTTCCTCCCTCCAAATAAACCAACACTTCTAAATTTTAATTTGACCTGAAAACAGAGGACAAAGATCCTCTCGGTGGGATGTGCCACTGCAAATTCCTATTCATTATAACATATTTTTAGTTCATGCATGAGAACTGGAAGTCCGTCATTCAGCCTACACCTATAACCTTCTGGAATGTTCTGATGCTCGTGTAATATTCTAATTGAGAAACCTTGCAAAATCGCTAAAGTTAATTGTTTCTACAACAACAACAATCATCCGTTATTTAAACACGATTTGATTTAAAGCAATAGGTTTGCTTTGTGGGTCGTGGATCTAGCTAAAAGTTTAAGAAAAACAGCAATAGGTACAGAGGTTTCTGGAATCTTGAGTTGTACTTGAAATGAAATGATGTTAGTGCTGCATAATAATAATAATAATAATAATAATAATAATAATAATAATAATTTTACTGTAAACCGAGTTGTTAAATAAACTAGTTTGTTGCTGTCAACGACAGTCCTAAGTCCTAAGTCTTGAACCAACCCTGCTCTGCATGGACACAACGCAGCTTTATTTCTACGGTATTTCTCCCGGCTACAACGGAGATAATGTCGGCAGCGTGTTGCAATGACCCCGCAAGACTCCGATGGATCTTCGATTGGCAAGGTGCGTATCTGGAGTGCTCCAAATCGACTTACCCAACGAGAAGAACCTGTTTGAAGGAATACTCAACGAGATGTGTTCTTGATGCTCTTTAGATCATTTACGGTACGAACAAAGCCCGAACAGTTGTGTTTATGAAGGATCTGAAGCGCAAGAATTAGGCACTCGCTCGCCCAAAATACGCCTACATATTTTTTCATGGAGTTTGGTTTCCATCAATGAACTTGAAAAAAACCTTCAGAGCGTTAGCAATTTCGAAATTTGCAAACAAGCAATTCGGTTTTTCTCGTATAGATAAAGTCTGCATACAAACTAATTGGCCTATCAGGCCGGCACTTATCTCCGGTTTTCTCATTTTTGGACCGAATTTGCGAGCTCATTAAGGTTTCAGTTGGAAAAGAACCCGGAAACGAGGTTTAAATATCCAGGGGAAAAATATCAAGCGACCGCAGGTCTTATATAGTACTAATAAACAAGACAATGACAATTGTAATAATGGGCAACGAGATACCGAGGCAGAGTCAATGTTTTAGCGATCACATGCAAGCTTTCGTCCCTGTCACAGGGTCTTTCTCAAGTGAATATGATGGGAATCTATTTGTCACGTGTGAAATCTTCCCCGTATAGGCCCGGAAGTTCAAATCCACGGTCTCTACTAAGCGACGGGGATTGGCACAGAATTTCCGAAGCCTCCCGAATTTTCCTTCTGAAGTTGTCTTCTTCTGTAGCTATGACAGCCGCCTTCTTCTCTTCCAACTTGTAGCCTGTGTCCGTAAGGTGTTCTCCAACGGCGGAAAGTATCAATCTAGTAGTGTCAGAATGTTCCCTTAACCGGACGTTCAAGGGTAGGGAAATGTCTCCAATGTATATCTTTTTACAATCAGCATACTCTAATCTCTAGATAACGCCACACTCCTTTCCATCGGTTGAAGGATCTTTAGGATGTGCAAGCTGTGATCTGAGGGTGCTGAAAGGTACATGGTAGGGTAGAGATTTCTCCGATACACCTTGCACATTGGTGGAGAGCCGGGGACACTCGCGGCAAGTTGCTGCTGACCTGTACTTACTGGTCTCTAGCTCTCCCTATGTTTCTCCGGAATTTTGCACATCCACGCCTTGTAGTTGCATTTTGTCACGAAAGGCGCTTTTATAATTAAGATGATCAATCTCATACGTCCTGTCCCCCTCTTCGGAGATAATAGTGTTCGCACAGTGCAGAAGTGTTCTAACTATCGACCTTTTGTGATCCAGATGATGGTTGGAGTCAAAATTTAGATATTGATCTGTGTGAGTAAGTTGGCGGTATATGTTTGGTGGATCCCTTATCCTTGATATGAACATATGTGTCTAAGAAAGCGAACTTGCCATCGGATGCCGGCTCCATTGTGAACTTGATGTAAGGGTCCCTGGATTTCAGATGCTCGGTAAAGCCCTTTACTTCATCATACTCATACAATTTGGAAAACGTGTCATCCACGTAACGAAACCAACACTTTGGCAAATTAGGGTAAGGAGACATGGCCTCTTGCTCAAAGTGCTCCACATATCGGTTGGCGATGATACGTGGCATAGCAACCCATTGCGCACCCATGAATCTGCTTGTAAGAGGTATCCCTGTATAATACTCTCACCGGGCTGGATTGACATTCTTAATTCTTCTTCGTGTCCAAACTCTCTGTTTTCCCTTGGGCTCTCATGAAAAGATTACATGGAGGACAGGATCTAAGTCCAGCTAAAAGTGATAAAGCGCTCTAACAAAATGTTGTTGTAGCTATTTTATGTATGACATCTTGAGAGTGTGGTAAACAAATGATATGTGTATTCCGGACACAAATTACTGCAATACAGTGTTCAATTCTCAGAGAAACTGAGGAGAACTAGGGTGATTCAAAACTTTGGCCAGGGGATTGGATCTGATATGGTTTGGGAGGCACGATGGCCTAGCAAATGCAAATAGTTAGTCAGCTGCCTTTCAGATCAAATGGTCCGTGTCTTAAACCCCGGATGGGGATCATCATTTCCTTTCTGCGACAAGATTTCTCTCTACCTAATGCAAAGAGGTAAACAGACACCGGCTAAAGAACTAAAGAACAAAAAAAATAAATCTTAGATAATATTCCCTGTAATTTTTTTTAAAATAGTTTTAACTATTTACTATAGGTAGTCTACACCGTACTCCTGTTCTGCTGTGTAAATATTGACAATTAATATAATCAAAGCGCTTCAAGCTACAGGAACCATGGACAAACGACATCCCGATGAGCCACTAGGTTGGAA